TCAACAACAAAATAATCCACATAATGGATATAATATTTTTGAAGTAAAATATAGTCCAAATTTGTTCATTCTATGATTTGATTAGAGCGCTTTTTTACGTTGGTTCGTTGATTTAGAGTTTCTATTCATAATATTATAGATGAAAAAATATATATCCGAATTCGTTCATTGATTAGATCACCTTTATGTAGTAACTTGTACTATTTCATAACAAATATATATATATTGAAATTAGAAAAAATTTAATGAAGAATTCAATTTTAAAAAGGAACTGCAACCAAGTTGATGAATACAAAAAGTGATTTTTGTGGGGGTGTCCAAGAAAAGGTTTCAGATCGGTAATATCATACAGAACATAGGGTGGTTGCAATATGTATGTAGTAATGGCAATATTAACAACTAAAACTACTTGAGATTTGGTTTTCTCTCATTTGCTTTTTAGCTAATAATAATACAATTGACCAAGGTTTTTTATGACAACGGCAATAATAGTACGAGCGTGCGACCCAAGTTTAGTTAATTAATATCCATGTGATTCACTTATACCGGTAACCCACTAGCTCTTCTAGCGACTCTAATTATGCTGGTTCAGACCCCCAGATTATATTTGACCGGACTATTAATAATCAGAAGGATCATGGAACAATTCGCAAGGGCCCCTCCTCTTTAACTATTCAAAAATTCGTAATAAGGTAAAATGTGTTTATTTTAATCAATTAATTATATTACTATTATTTATTAATTCAAAGATTATTCTTTAACTCAAATACTTTTTTCTAAAGAATGTATATGTAAATTTAGAAACATTTGAATTGATGCCATCATACTCACTTTACATAGTAAAATTTGACTTGAAATGCAGATCTTATTTTCAATTAGATTATGTATGAATGGTCCTTTCCTATTGAAGTTTTTCTATAAGGATGTAAATTGAAAAGCAAAATTTGCATTATTTAAAGAACAACCAAATTTTGGCGATCGATTTATCGTGAACAATAAAAAATATGCACCAAAACCTGTATGTAAAGGTCGTTATAAGTACCAATATTGATCAACCTATGTTATATTGCTTCAAACTCAAGAGATGATGCTAATCCAATTTTTTTTAAAGAATTGAGTTTTGATGATATTGGATGTAACTATAGCGGTTGAGAAGGATACAAATAAACAATCCTTAAAACTGCTGTCGAAAGAGATGACACGACTTTGGTAAGATGTAAAGATCAAAAGAAGATTATTATTATTATTTGTTTTATACAGAAAGGTGATAAAAAGTGTTCTCTGGGCCTGATAATTAATTTTACAGATTACAAATTCATCTCTGCATAAATCTTTCACTTTCTCCAAACAAAACCACGTGGTTTCATTTTTTTTATTTTCCTTTCAGTCGGAGCTTGAAACAAATTAATTATTAGATCGTATATCTGATATTCACGTGTGGAATTAACTTCGACGCGACCATCATCAACATTATCATCAATAAAAGTTACTACCATTAAAATTTTTTCAAATTTGTGCTACTAAATATATATAAAAAAGGTTTTATTTTTGAAAACTAATATCTTTCATAAAAGGTATATGATAGAATTTCCTTTACCGATAAGATATTCACGTTTCCAAATCAAAAAATGCAAAACATAGTGACAATTTCTGAACTATAACTCCGGTTTTCTCAACAAAAATTCCCTTTTAAAACAACCCAACAAAGAAACAGGTATACAAAATTTAAAAAAGGAACTTGTTATTTAAAGAAAAAAAAATGACAACCAAAATTAGTTTTTGGAAAATAATATTTCAAGATTATTCTTTTTTCACTAAAAATATTATTAATATCATCTGCAATTCTTTAAAAATTTTGTATTATCTCACATTTCTTTATTACTAAAAACGTTACAAGTGATAGAAATGACTAATGCAAATACCATTGCGGCTATTCTTTCGTTTATCTCGTTTCTTTGTCTTCTTTTAGTGAACTTTAGTACACCATTTATTAAGACAATTTATATTATATATGT